TATCAAGCCACAACTTTACGTCCCAAACGCCCGCCGCCCGCCCGCCCACAAATGGACGACCGTTCCTGACGCTCGTATTCATTCATTTGCTAAGCAAATTATGAAGCGAAGGGATTGGTATGAAGCGGCCGTGATGCTGCATGCATACATGGGTACACATATGCAGCCGTATCTTCGGTAGCGGTGATTGGTAAGATGCCTACGGGAAACTCGTCCGAAATCGATTTACAAGTCACTGAGAACGGAGGCTTTTTCTTCGCAGGATTTTGACCGTTTCACTCCGTTCTTTCGCCATTTCCCCACTATACAGCGCCCTACTAGCATTTTAGGCTAAGTAGGAAACCATCGTGCCAACTGCCTTTAGGGTGACTTATTTGTTGTATCGTGAATATCCCAGAATATGATGGGTCCTTTATTCCTATTTATTTTATATATGACGAAAAAACTTTACCTTCACAGTTACAATTTCAGATGTTTGATCACGATTCGAATAACCAACCGTTGTCGGTTGGTCATTGTGTGATCGGTCGTATGGGTGACATCACGGGTCATGCACATTGGATTCAAATGCTCAAAAAGCACGGTATGCCAGTATGTATGTGGCACCGGATTGGCGTCAATTAGGCCACAAATTGACGCATATCTTATCTGCGTCTCCATGTATAGTACTGTAGTTAATAGCCACGTTGTTGTGTTGGTCATATCCCGTTGTTAATAATCGTTGCCAAAACGCCGAATCGTGTTAACTATTGCATTTTCGACTTTGTCGTCTTCAGATCTACATCAATCGATCTAGCGTTGCCATAACATTAATCGATACATCATGCTAATTTAATATATTTATGTCTTATTGATTAGGTGCTCGTGATCCAGTGCATATGTGTAAAAACGGTTGTGTATTGATCGGATGTCATAAGCAGGCTGTAGATCGTTCAGACCAATAAGCAGCTGTAGCTCCGCCCACAGCGTCGAACTGGCACGCCTGATTGGTCGATCGTTCTTCTCTACCGTTTGCGAACTGTACGCGTGCTTTTGTAGAGATACTGTAAACCCCGACAAGAAATCATTGACAGACCCTCAAAACGATCTACAGCCGCTTCTTTCAGCGTTCGTTGTCTTCCATCTTTGTGTAAGTTTCAAATGAATGCAATAATTCAACAAAAATCAATATATTTACTGAACAACTACACTGTAATCGATCGATCTCTGTAACAATGACATAGAAACAATTGTGTTACGTCTCATCATAGTATATATGTATAATATATTGAAATCTACACAGTATTTATAAGAGTACTTAGCCATAATACATGTATGATATGTCGATGCGGGATGAATGCAAATCAATAAATCGTCACGAATAAATCAATCAATAAATCAATCATTGTTGATGATGAAAGACAACAAAGCTTGGTGTGCACAGGTAAAACCTATATATGCACATGGTGAACTATGTATAGTACGATTCACCTTCTTCCTAATAAAGAATAAGTAGACAGATAAGTAGCGTCGCATTTCCTTGCCGGAGATGTGGGTCAGGACATCCACTTTGGGGTGACGCACGCAATTTAGCTACTGTTCCTGGGTCGACATGCTGTATCAACTCCGCTTGGAATCGATTAGACCCTTTTGCGAGCTTGACACCCGCGA